AAGACTTGTGGCAGGCTTTGGGGACTTGCTCTGGGCCAATCCTGCTTGGGTGGACTTTTAACAAATTCCAAATATGTAAAGAGTTTTCTGGTGAGATGAGTGGCAACAAACAATTTGGATTTTGGGGTATCATTTAACAAACTATCAACATTTGGAAAGAGCTGCAAACTTAGTGACCCAATATGTTCCAAGTTATCAATGTGTCATGCTACAAAATCATATGTGGATAAGAGAGCAAAGTACAAGACAGATCAGTGGGGTTTTTAACGTGTAGAATACATTCAATGCCATGTTCTCAGCTTTAACATTGCAAATAACCTTTAAGAAACTACCTCTTTATGACATGTGACTTAGTATCAAAGAATATTCACAATTATCTGAAAAGACTAACAAAATACCTCTCCCTTTACCAACAACACATCTGGCTGAGCTCAGATTTTCTTCTCATGCTTCAGCCAACAGATTGAATACAGAAGTAGATATTAAAATCTAGTTGTTTCCAGACATAAATATTTGTAAAAATGTGAAATAATGCCATTCTTCTCACTAAATGTTTTGTTTGGCTAATTTATTTCTTTTTCATAAAGCATCTATTATTCATGTTACTATGTAATTGGCTTACTATTTTCTTAAATGAATACATCTTAAATATCTATTTTAATTTCTAATATGGTAAATATTAACAATCAAAAATTTAGAATTCTCAGTAATATTTAATAGTGTAAAGGGAACTGAGGCCAAAAAGAATGAGAACTGCTCTCTAGGTAGAGGGTTTAGGTGATTTATAAAGGGCTTTGTTTAATATGTAACAAAGGACCAGTGCAAGGTTAGAAGATTAACATTGTCCTATCCTGGAGCCTGGCCATCTTCAGGCCCCGTCCTTATGTAAAGGAGCTAAGAATACTTCTATTCAAGCTTCATTCTTTTGCAGGTAGCGACCCAGTTTTCCCAGCACCATTTATTAAACAAACTTTCTTTGCTCCAGTGCATATTCTTTGCTCCTTTGTCAAATATTAGTTGACCATAAATCTGTGGGTTTATTTCTGGATTTTTCTGTTCGATTCCATTGGTCTGTGTGTCTGTTCTTATTCCAATACCATGCAGTTTTGATGATTATGGCTTTGTAACATAGTTTGAAGTCTGGGAGTGTGATGCCTCCATTCCCTTCTTTTTTTTTTTTTTCAGGAGAGCTTTGGCTATTTGGGGTTTTTGGTGATTCCATATGAAATTTATCAATAATTGTTCTATTTCTTTGAAGAATGTCATTGAAATTTTTATTGGAATAGCATTGAATCTGTATATTGCTTTTGGTAGGATGGCCATTTTGATAATGTTAATTCTTCCAATCCATGAGTAGGGGATGTCTTTCCATTTCTTTGTGTCTTCTATTTCTTTTAACAGTGTTTTATAGTTTTCTTTGTATAGGTCCTTTACCTCAACTCAAAATGGATTAAAGAACTAGACATAAGACCACAAACCATAAAATACATAGCAAAAAATATAGGCAAAACACTACATGACATGCACATTAAAGACAACTTTACAGACACATCATCCAAAGCAGTGATAGTGAAGGCAAAGATAAACAGTTGGGACTACATTAAATTAAAGAGCTTCTGCACAGCAAAAGAGACAATAACCAAAACAGAGAGAAACCCCACCAACTGGGAGAACATTTTTGCACACAACACTAATGATAAAGGACTGATCACAAAAATCTACAAAGAGCTGATGAGACTCAACAAAAACAAAGAAAATAATCCAGTCAAAAAATGGGCAGAAGAGCTAAAAAGAAACTTCTCTGAAGAAGAAATGCAAATGGCCAACAGGCATATGAAAAAATGTTCAACATCACCTGTAATCATGGAAATGCAAATCAAAACTACAATGAGATACCATCTTACACCATTGAGAATGGCACATATTAAAAAAACTAGCAACAACAAATGTTGGCGAGGTTGTGGAGAAAAAGGAACTCTCCTGCACTGCTGGTGGGAGTGCAAACTGGTCCAACCACTATGGAGAGCTGTGTGGAGATTTCTGGACCTACTAAACATAGAGCTTCCATATGATCCAGCAATTCCACTCCTAGGTATTTACCCAAAGGACACAGAAACATTAATTCCAAAGGGCACCAGCATGCCTATGTTTATAGCAGCACTGTTTACAATAGCTAAGCTTTGGAAACAACCCAAATGCCCAAAAATAGATGACTGGATCAAGAAGATGTGGTACATATACACCATGAAATATTACTCAGCAATCAAAAAAGATAAACACATGCAGTTTGCAGCAACATGGATGGAGCTAGAAGGGATCATGCTCAGCGAAATAAGCCAGAAAGAAAAAGAAAAATACCGGATGGTCTCACTCATAGCAGGAATTTAGAAAACCTAAATAAGAGACCAGGAAAAAGACTAATCAATACAAAGTAAAAATCAAAATCAACAAGCAACTATAAACCAGAGACACACTATGGGGCCGGGGTGGGGAGGGGAGGGGGCGGGCACGGGAAAGGAAAGACTAAAGTCAAAATAAGGGGAGGGCAATTGTATGGGGAATATAACCATAATGAAAATGCATACATTGTGCAAAGATGAAAAATGATGTAAGAATTATATAAAATAATTTTTTTAAAAAAAATAATACTTCTATTCAAAACAGAAGCCATCTTAACACATTGTATTTAAATATCAACACAATGGCCTCCCTGCAGCAAAATGTAAGTGCCCAAGTGGGTAAGAATCATAACTTCTTCTCTTTTGTGTCTGCTTCTTTTATTTCTGCTAAATACCTTACAAAGGATAAATACTTTATAATAATGAAGCTCCTAAGGGGTTATGTTCTGAAGATGCACTCAATCTGTTATTGCAGTATTGTACTTACGTAGCCTGGAATGAAGTATACTCTGCCTCCTTCAGGGTCTTTCTGTTCAACCAAAAGGGCCCTGAGGGGAAAGGACTTCTAAGGATGTCTAACTAGTGAGTCAGACCAACCCAATGTGACTTTGCATCTAGATTTACTGTCAAATTCCCCACAAGGCAATTATTTGTCAGTCTACAACACACTGACACAAATTAACATGGATAGCAAATAGAGAGGAGGCAGTTGAGTTTAATAATCTTACATTTGTACAATATGTCAGCCTTTCAAATCATTTACACCTCTCAGTGTATTCTCACAACAAACACACTGTAAGATAGGGTGGCCTTTATTAATTTGCATTAACCAATAAGCATACAGACAAGGATAGAGAAAATCACCCACCTACACCCCTCCCCCCACCCCCAACAGCTTGCAGCATGTCAGAATGGGACGCAGGTCTCCAGACTCCCACAACCTTTGTTCTCTTTTCACTCCCCTGTTCAAACTCTGAGTCTCACTGACATTTTTGTTTTTAAAGGAGCGTGAAGACCAGCAGCCATCTTTGCTCTCACATTGTTTCTTTTACACTATGCTCTAGCTCTTTGATTCAGAGTAGTTCATTTTTATAAAATAAATTGCATCCCTGTCTGGAATATTTTCATTTTTAAAAATGTCTATATATCCATGGTATTCCTTATTGATACCACCATAAATCACAATTCATAACAACTTGGCCAAAAACAAGTAAACTTCGCTCTAGGATACAGTGATGAAATTATCTGCCCTTTGTTATGCTTTGCCTAGTAATATGTGCCAGAGTGCTAAAGTTATAACATACAGAAATATATATTCTGGCAGTACCTGTTCTCATTCTCCAGATGGCTAGATACAGATCAAGCCTGGGTGCACTTTTCCAAAAATACTTTGCCGTTAGAAAAGGTATAGGCACTAAAATCCATGACACTCCAGATTTTCAGGGCTTTCTACTTCAATATCACTCGTTATTTCAGGTGTCTGGAATAATAATTTAGGGTATAGAGCGCTGTCATACAGAACACCAATGGAAAGCCTCTAAGATTCTATGAAACACACTAATGTTCATATACAAGCTTGCTTGTTTTTGCTTCCAGGCTATAACCACACACGGTATCTTCTTAAGAAACCACAGACATGAGGGTGGGGGGCGGGATTTCAAGTAGGGTTATATTTGTATTCAGATCCAATGACCAAGTCCTGACTGTTTCACAGTCAGCCCCTCAACTCCACCATGTCAAGCCACAGACACCAAAGCAAGCTGAGTGCACTCACCTGAGGTGAGTGCTGCCATTTTGAGAATCAGCCTTCTAGAGATGCACATCTAGCTGAGGTCCTTTAAGATCTGTGATTCATTTCATGACTCTTAATAAAAACAAGAAATGCTGGACTTGAGGCAGGGCTATTTCTTTAAACCCTAAGGTCATCAGTGATCTCAGTGATTGCTGAGAGATCTTTCTCCCTTCCCTCCTATTTCTTTTCCCAGCTCTCAGTTTTCTCTCCTGCCAATGCCTCAGGTCCATCAGACAAGGATCGTCAATGAAATGGAGCCCAAAGCTTCCCAGTTGCTGACAACCAACCTGGGAAAGGGAAAGACCTGGGAGAGCCACACCCTAATTCTGTAGCTGACACTATCACACTTCTCAGCTGTTGGAAGCAGTGGCCTAGATGTCAACTCTTAAGGTCTTCCCAGCAGCTATTAGATGGATGTAGAACTTTGCCAAAGTATTACTAATGTGTTCTGAGACTAGGTTTTTGGAGAAAGGCCTAGGTTCAAATTCCAGCTATGTTTTCATAGGGGAAGGAGGGGGTTTTTCAGGCTTTTATTGGGCTTTCACCAGGTACACAGCAGGCAGGGGTGCCGGTGAATCTTCACTCTTTCTGGGCTCTCTGGTGTTCCTGTGGTCTCTGCTTCTCTACTGGTGCTGTTCTCATTTTCTTGTTCCCCGTCACGCCACCCTTATAAGCCCAGTCTCAGCTCAGGTGTACCCACCTATGCATGCCCACACCCTACTCCAGGTGCCCGCCATCAGGCATGATGCAGGGGTCCATCATTAATGCCAATTGCAGGAGGATGGAAAAGCCTGATAATTTTTACTTACCCTATAGTCTTCAATATGGCCCTTCGACAAGCTGCTTAACCCCTGAGCCTCAGTTTTTTCAACTGTAAATGGAGGACAAAAATACCTTTTTGTTAATATTAAAAAGATATTTATGTAAAGTTCCTGAAACAAGGCATGGAATGTAAATACAGTTTCAGTGTTTTCTATATCCTTGTCAAAATTAAAGGAAGACAATCAAGTTGGTCAAATGGAATAACAGCTTCTCTTAATCCTGTCTCTAATCTTTTTGCTACGGACTTTTCACATTATATTCACTTATTCAGCGGAAGCTATTACACCTGGACTTCTAAGAATCAAGATTTACAGTCAGCTGAATTCACACCTTTTTCCTTGCTAAGGAGGAAGGTATTGACAAGTGTGGAAAGACTGGCCCTCCCAAGCACAGGTTAAATCTATGACTCTGAAGCTGGCTACACATTGGAATCACTTGTAGAGCTGTGAAAAAATATAAGGTAATCCCCTCCCGCCCTCTGAGACTGATTGAATTGACTTAGGAGGCAACCTGGGCATTTGTATTTTTTAAAGGTTCAACAGCTGACTCAAGCATGCAAAGGACTGAGGGCCACTGAGGACCAGGTGAAAGGCACATGAGCTACCCCAGCGGGAACTTTGACTTCCCTGTGGGCGCCCTGCTAAAGGTTGATTCGTGACAATGTGCTTGTTTTCTTGTGAGTGGCAGTAACACCGATCAGAAATTATTAGAGGGGAACTTCTTCTAGTCACTTATTCACATTTTGAATTTTTAATTCAGCACAAAAGCCTCAACCACCTTTTTATTCTGTGCCCAGAAAATACAGCCTCTCCACTGTTGATGGTGAGCTGTGATTTGCAGTGATATGTCGGCTCTTGTTCTGTGTTATGCATAGGGTAAAGTAAAAGCATCAGGCTTTTCTGCCCTCCCACCATCAGGATAGATGACGGAACCCTGTGGTCCTGAATGCATGCCTGATGGCGGGCACCTGGAGTAGGGTGTGGGCATAGGTAGATGGGATTCACCTGGGCTGAGACTGGGCTTTTAAGGTCAGTGTCACGGAGATGCCAGTAGAAGTGGAGAAAGAAGCAGAGAAGCAGAACGGAAGAAGCACGAGTAGATGCAGAGACCACCAGAGAACGCCAGAGAGCCCAGAAAGAGTGAAGACTTGCTGAGGGCTGGGAGGCCTGCCAACCTCCCAGCCAGCACCCCTAAATAAATCCCAATAAAAGCCTGCAAAAGCCACTGAGGGCTCCAGAATTCTCCTTCACCTGTCTGCTGGATCATAGAACACCTGCTCCGTGTCCTTCCTGCCCTTTACATATGCTTGTCTTGGGACATCTGGGGCTTGTAATTGGTGCTACTTTTACCTATAATCTATTTCAGTAGCACTTATTTCTGATTCCAGACTGTAAAGGCAGGAACGGGCCCAGTGCAGGTTTTCTGATCCCATGCAGACTGGGTAAAGGAGGAGTCAGAGTCTTCAGTGGTTTTGCAGGTCTTTTATTGGGGTTCAGCGGATACGTGCAAGGCAGGGGTGCTGGCTGGGAGGCCTGCCAGCCTCCCAGCCAGCAAGTCTTCACTCTATCTGGGCTCTCTGGAGTTCGTTCTGCTGCTTCTCGGCTTCTCTTTCGGCTTCGGCTTCGGCTTCTACTGCTGCTGCTTGCGTCCCCGTGACACTGCCCTTAAAAGCAGTCTTATCCCAGGTGATAAGACAGGTATCCCATCTACCTATGCCCACACCCTACTCCAGGTGCCCGCCATCAGGCATGCATTCAGGACAAGGATCCATCATCTATCCTGATGGCGGAAGGGCAGAAAAGCCTGACATTTTCTTTACCCTACACAGACCATCCAACAACAATAATTGGTGAAACTCTAAAATATTCAAGCAAAGAAGAAAGTATCTTTTATCTCCTCTCCAAGTAAGAATTAGGTTTTATAACAAAGTGAAAAGAATCTCTGATTTTATTCTCTAGACCCTCTTGTACAGAATATGAACCGGGGAAGGGAGATATGTGGGGTGATGGTGGGCTGGGGGGGGTCGTTAAAGCAAGGGTAGGTACAGTCGAAGGAATAAGAGTCCATTAGAAGGGCCTCCCCAGTGGCGCAGCAGTTGAGCGCTGGGCTGCGAAGCTGCCCGCAGCCTCTGCAGCGCCGGTTCAATCCCCATGTGCTCCCCGGCCACTGGAGGAGGGTCGCGCATGGCGCGCAGACCTCCCCTGCCGCCCGCTGCTCCCCTCAGCAGTGTACTTCGTCAGTCAGCCTGTTCTGTTCCCCGCTCTGGCTCTGGTGAATTCTCTCACCCTCCCGTGCTTCTGACTGTACCCAGTGCTTATATAAATAAATAAATAAATCTTTAAAAAAAAAAAGTCCATTAGAAGACTTTTCAGACAGATGCATTTTATAGTTTATGCTACTAGAGCAGTGGCTGGAATACCAACATCTGGGCAAAAAGAAATTCGAATCAGGAGAATGCCCTAGCTTTTTCCAGACTTTACTCAAGGAATCCTAGTTATATGATCACAGCTGGGGCTATGACTTTTAATAAGTGCTGCCACCTCTGGAGAAGGCATCTCATCCCCACACCACTCCTTAGTGGAGCAGTTATCACAACACAAACTACAGATAAGAAAACAAACCTCAACCAAGGTCAAGCTCAAATCCACACCTTCCATGTTCAGTGCCTTTTCCAGGACCCCACATGTGGTTAACATGACGCTATTTTCTTGACAGCACAAGCTTCATTCACAGTTGGAGCACAGTAAATGTAAATTAAAATGGATGCACTGAAATCACAGCAGCGGTGGCCCATCATTCTTGGCTAAATTTCCACACTCTAGCTAAGCTCTCTGAGCACCTGACAGCCTAGCTAATCTGACTGAGCATTAATGGACTTGCTTCCCACCTCAGTGAAAAAGTCATTATTTGTTTTCAAATATAATCAATAACGATTTGCCACATGCACTTCTTTATCTTAGGTCAAGCTTGAATCTCTTACCCTCAGACTCAAACCTCTTGCCAGCCAGACCTGGCAACATCTAGACACTACTTCACATTACCCTTTTTTTTCCTGAATTCTCCCTCAACCACCTATAAAAACACTGCTTCTGAAGATAGCAAGATCATGCTGTCTCATCTTGGCAAAGGATGGGAGTGCGCTATAGAGGCAGGAATGGCCACGGAGCAGGTTTTCTGATCCAGCAGACCGGGTAAAGGAGGAGAGTCCTGGAGCCCTCAGTGGCTTTTGCAGGTCTTTTATTTAGATTTACCAGGCATATGACAGGCAGGGGTGCTGGGGGGCCGGGAGGCTGGCAGTCCTCCCAGCCCCCAGCAAATCCTCACTCTATCTGGGCTCTCTGGCATTCTCCCTGCTTCTCTTCTTCTCTCAGCTTCCGTTCATTCTTGGTTTCTTCTTCTGCTGGCATCCCCGTGACACCGCCCTTATAAACCCAGTCTCTCAGCCCAGGTGTACCCACTTCAGGTGCCCGCCATCAGGCATGCATTCAGGATCACAGGGTTCCCTCATCTATCCTAATGGTGGGAGGGCAGAAAAGCCTGATATTTTTTCCTTACCCTACAGCGCCCACTCCCCTCCACACTCTGTCTCAGATGTTACACAGAGATGAGAGGACCACCGGCCCAACGGCTTCACAGATACCACAGAGGCAGCCCTGAGCATCTACCCCATAGACAGAGAGAGTCAGGGAAGTGGAAGACTCCATCCCACCACCCACACCTCTGCTTCCAGGAGTTTATAATCAAATGAGGTAGGAGGAAGGTGGAAACCAACAGTTTCTGATCCTCTGGGCACACCAGAATTACTGGGCTCCATCCCCAGACATGCTAATTCAATTTGTCTGCGACTGTACTCAGCCATCAGAAGCCGCTTAATGATGCCAGGTGTTTCTAATGTGAAGCCAAGCTTCAGATCCACTGAATCAGACAAACACAACCCAAATAGCAGAGCATGGGCAGTGCGCCCCAGCAGTCACGTGGATGTGTCTTGTTTCAACAGTGTTTGGATGGAACAGACCCTGGGACACCCCTTCTTTCAGCCTCTGACCACCCCCCAACCTCTCTTCCCACCACAATGGGCAGAACCATCTTTTCTGCCATCCAGTGCCTCCCAGACCCGCCAACGCTGTTTTTTGTTTTGTTTTTTGTGAGCTTAGCTCCTTATTGCTGATCAACTGCGAGCTCCCACATTCAGAATTATTACCCCCAAGGCGGAGGCCTCCTGTACCCACCTCTCTCTCCGCTTCTGGGCCTACACTGGCCTCTTATTCCAATAACTGGGAAAGGAGAAACAGGGGGCACCCAGAGTCTTTCGAAAACGCCAAGTTGCCCGGCGGCCACAGGCTCTCCCAAGAGAACAGAAATTGCCCCAGCGCGATTGGGGCAAAACTCCGGGAGCTGGACCAGCCCGTTTGGATCTGCGCGCCCTGCGTTCTGCCCGCACAACCGCCCTCTCAGTCGTTTGCGGGCAGGCGGCCCGCGGGGCCAGCAGGGGAGTCTCCGGAAGGTGAGCGGCCACAATACTAAGTCCCACAGGGGGCCGGCCTCCTTCTAAAGGTTCATCCTCAACCCAACCAGAACCCTCCTGAGCCCAGTGACCTTTGAAGACCAAACAGAACGGACCAAATAGAAGCAATAAAGTTTTTTTTTGCAGGAAAGAAAACGAGAGAGATGTGATATTCACTCATCTGAAGGTGCCACAGCATTGCTGCTTCGAGAGGGCGCTACGCTAGTTCCGGGGGCTGTGGGCAGGGGGTATTTCCATTACCACTGAGCTGTTGAGAAGCAAGTGAGAAAAACTTGGGGAAAGGAGCTCTGGGGGTATCTGGGAGGAGGAAGTGGCCTGTGCAAGTCTTGGCCTTGAAATAAGTTGTGTGCGGTGGGCAGAAAAGGTACACACCTTGCTTGAGAGCAGGGGGCTCAGGGGAGCCGAGATCTCTTATTTGGAGTTATTATAAACTCACTCAAGAGAAAATTGTGAGTTATTTATTCCAAACTGAGTCCTTTTGGATCATTCTTTTCTTGATCTGAGGGTTTTCCTAGAGTGGTAGCTATGGCAACCATCCCTAAATTGTTCAAATCCCAGTCAGAAGTGGAAATCACTCCCTTAGCAGCTGTCTTCTTCCACCTAGGTAGCAGGGAGGTAGTCTTATCAAACAGCTACTATGCACATATGGTATTTCTCTTTACCACAGGCCAGCACTTAGCTCATATTACCCTTGACAAAATGAAATTCTTTCAGAGGACCTCAATTTCTCTCATAGTTCTTTCTGACTTTCGAGAGCTCGAGGCTAGTCCTGAATAATCATATAATATATGCCTTAGAATAAGAATCAATTTCCTGATTGATAATTTACCCAACAAACAGCAAAACTCAGAGGATATTAATCAAAAATCAGAGGATATTAATCACATATATTTACATGTAGCATCAAAAACATCTCTGTGAGTCCAGATTTATCACAAGCAGCCGGGTTACACAAAACCTTTATAAAGTCAGTCAGGAAAAGCAGAATAATGGCAACTCCCGGTTATGTTTCAAATCAGAAATCACCTGCTGGGGCCAATGAGATGCCAGGTACACAGCTCAATGTCTGAAGTGAGACATAAAAAATAAATTCAAAACATCTGAACAATGCTATTAAAACATGTACACATCCCTAATAAAAGACTCTGAGGGGCCAAAAGAAACTCATTTATCCTGAAAGGGCTGAGCAGGGTTTCCTGGAGGAGCTGACATGTGAGCTGGGGTTTTGCAAAGCACCAACCTTACTAGACAAGACACAGGGGAGACGGCGATGCATGTGAGGCAGAGAAGCATGGCGACTGCTTCAGGAATGCGAGGTGTTCTGAGCAGCTGAAACAGGCAGCATGGTAAGAAGGGAGGTCTTCACTGGCTTGGAAGGCATCGCATAGGCAGTAGGGGAGGAAGCCCACGGGGAGTTCTAGAAAAGGTGTGATAATAACAAGATTTGGTATCTAGAAAGATAAATCTGGTTGAAATGTGGAGAATCAATTGAAGAGTGAAGAAACTGGTGAGGGAAAGGGACAGGTACCACTGTCTCCAAACCTTCCTCCAGAAGATGTGCAGATCACCCCCATAGATGTCATTGTCACAGTCCGGTGCATTCTAGGAAAGTCACACAGTACCATTAAAGTCTACATTTCTGTCCTCACCATCTGGGACTTGATTTAAATCAACTGATTCTTCAGAGACAATCGGCCCATTTTAATATAAGCCATTACTTGTGCACAAAAATTCTAAAACAAAGTATGAGGGAAAATAATCTGTGTTGAGTTCTCTGGTTTCTCAATACCTCAAAGTTCTCTTTCTCTCTTGTTATACAATGATCATTTCTGCCGCAGATATTCTCATATTATCTGAGCAGGTGAGAATACAACTCCTTGCAATGACAGAAACAACATCTAAAGTCATTTGATCCTGATTCTATAAACTATGGCAATAGAGTCGGGGTTTAATTTTTGAGGTTCTTGGCATCAAGCCTGCATTGGAGTGCAATGAAATTCAGCAGTCAAAGCTGTTCCCTTGAAATGAATTTCAGAAGAGTTAGAACTCTGCTCCCTATTCCCTTCTGGAACTATAAAAGTGCTTATTTATCTTTTTTCTTTCCTTTTTTTTTCCAGAAAGAAAAAAAAAATGATTGCATTGATCTACAGTTTCTTCTTTCTCTCTAAAGAAAGACCAATTGCTCTGAAGGTGTTTTGCACCCTTTCCTGTTTTAAATAATACCTCCCTTTGAAGCCAAAACAGACCCAACTGATTTTTCAGTTTAACCCCATGAGGAAAAACTGAGTCAGAATCAAGCCTTTCTGGAGAAAGAACTGATGTGTTTTCTATACACACAGGCTGGAAAACAAGAAACAATCACCTATCAGGCAATGAGAACACACAAGGAAGCAGATTGTCCCCTTGTCTCATAATATCAGGGCACCTCTGCACTGGGGGCTGGCGCCCCCATGGCCCCATCAGGCCTACTGTCATTTTTGGTTTTCCTGCCTATCTTCCCCACCACATCTGGGTCTTACTCTCCCCTGAATTGCACTGCCTGTCACAGTGGTTGGCACACAGTCAGAAGCAGAACTTCAATTAAAAGAGGGCCGTGTGGCTCTTCTAATTAGCAGCAGCTCTGTGTGGCTGCCGCAGGTAGATATGATTTTATCTAGTTCACTCAACAACCCACTTTATATATGGAAGGGATATCACCTACATTTTACATAAGGAAAACTGAAGCTCAGAATGTTTAGTTTAGTTGGATAGTTACTTACCCAGAGAGTCAGCAGGGATTGGAGCTCTGTCTTTTTGGCCCCAAGCCCATGCCCTTTCCATTCACCATGCTACCTCCAAAGGGGAGAACTGAGCTAAGGTAGGGTCTCCCTCTTGGGTTAGTTCTCCAAAGCCTAAGTAAGTTGTGGATTCGGCAAGATTATATTTTAAAGCAAATGTCCAAAGCAAATACAAATTTCTACTTACCTGCACTGTAAAAGTAAATATTTCTGTATTTCCATTTCCCAAAAGTCCTCTGTAAAACCAAGAGGAAACTTTTTAATACAACTTTAATTGACTCCTAGAGTCTGTCTCTCAAAAGATGGTCCACAGGCCAGCAGCTGAAGTATTTTTTTAATTGCTGAATCTCAGCATCCATACTACTGGATCAGATTCTACATTTTCATAAAATCAGGATTTCTATGTGCATAACAGTCTGAGAGGCACTGCCCTAGCCTCAACTCAATCTGGAAAATAGAGTAAAAATAAAGAATAGACAGGCCTCCCCGGTGGCGCAGCAGTTGAGTGCTGGGTTGCAAAACTGCCCGCAGCCTCTGCAGCGCCAGTTCGATCCCCGGCCACTGGGTGAGGGTCCCACATGGCGCGCGGACCTCTCCTGCTACCGGCTGCTCCCCTCAGCAGTGTACTTCGTCAGTCTGCCTGCTCTGCTCTCCCCTCTGGCTCTGGTGAATTCTCTCACCCTCCTGCGCCTCTGACTGTATCCAGTGCTAGTATCCTTAAATAAATAAATAAGTTTTAAAAAAATAAAGAATAGACACCTGTATTTGTGAGGGATATCCAGCTTATTAAAAACCTCTTGCCAACTTACTTTTGCTTCTTCACAAGCTGCTCCTTCATTTCCTCAGATGAACTGTGACGTAGTGACTGGGGACAGAGGCTGCGCCTGGACCATGCTGACACCACAGGCCTTGAGGTGGTGTGTATGAATGTCCTATACCTGTGTAACCGATAACCACACACTTAAAATAACTGACACGAATTTCTCACGGTTATGGAGACCAGCAGTCCAAAATTCATTTGTCTGGGCAGAAATCGAGGCCACACTCCCTCTGGAGGACCTAAGAAAAAATCGGTCCTGCCTCTTCTAGCTATTGGAAGCTGTCAGCATTCCTTGTATTATGGTGGCATCACTCCAATCTCTGCCCTTGTGGTCATATTTCCTCTTTTGTTTGTGTAGTAAGTCTCCCTCTGTACCCCTCCTATGAGGGTGCATTTATGGACCACCTGTTTTTCCGAGATAATCTCTCAATCTCAAAATCCTTAACTCAATCATATCTTGTGTCTAATAAGGTAATAGTTACCCTTTTGCCTTACAAGGTAGGAGTCACAGTTTCCCGGGATTAAAATGTCTTTTGAAGGGACATTACTCAGTACCAGAGAGCATTAAAGAAATTAAAGAATATTTTCAGAGTTAAACCCTAATTGATAACAGAGAAGTTAAGTAACTATCTTAAGGTCACACAGCTAAATAGTGGGTGAATCAGGTCTTAAAGAAGACCTAATTAAACTTCCTGATTTCTAGTAAAAAATGTTGTTTCTACCACACATGATGATAAATGGCACTGGAATCCTTTATATGCTGTAGATATTTTCAAGTGTTATTCAAGTATCCTTTAGTAGTTTCCCAATTAAAAAAATCTCCATTTGAAGACTTCTAGGAATGGTGAAAGAAAGGAGAGCCCTGCTAATACAGCTCACTGAAGTTCTCACCCATTTCTACTCCAGTGTTGTTTAGAGACTTCACAGTCCAGAATATAAAATATATGACTTATTTTCTGGGAAGAGGAGAACTGAAGATACAATAAACCACCAAACAGTGGTGGTTACAAAGCTTGTACAGGAAGTGTTCAGTGAGTACCTACTTTGAGCAGAACCACATCCAATCATTTGCCATGAAACAGAGGGAAGGGGTCAGCAGACCATTTTTTTTTTAAAGATTTATTCATTTATTCATTCATTTATTTATTTATTTATTTATTTATTTATTTATTTATACAAGCACTGGGTGCAGTCAGAAGTGCAGGAGGGTGAGAGAATTCACCAGAGCCAGAACAGGGAGCAGAACAGGCAGACTGACTAAGTACACTGCTGAGGGGAGCAGTGGGTGGCAGGAGAGGTCTGCATGCCATGTGGGACCATCGCCCGGCGGCCGGGGATCAAACTGGCACTGCAGAGGCTGTGGGCAGCTTCGCAACCCAGCGCTCAACTGCTGTGCCACCGGGGAGGCCCGACAAATTTTTTTTTAAAGATTTATTTATTTATTTGTTTATTTATTTATTTATTTATGTTTAGAAGAATTGGAGTATAGGCCAGAGGTGGTGGGGTGAGAGGATTCACTAGAGACAGAGTGGGGAGCAGAACAGGAGGATCTACTGAAATACACTGCTGAGGGGAGCAGTGGGTGAGATAGGAGAGGTCTGCTGTGTCATGTGGGTCAGCTCCCTGGCTGGGGATCGAACTCAAGCCACAGTGAGACTTAACCCCTAGGCCACCAGGGAGATCCCAGACAATTGCTTTCAACCTGCTCTATTACATGAGTGTAGACAAGGTAGGATATTTGTATCTGTGGGTCCTTGTGCCTTGGATGTGTGGGGCATAGTCTGGAAATAGGACTAGCTCGTGCTGGTGAACAAGTGAGGATAATAAGCAACGTTTTGGAGAATCCCCTTACCAAAACCTTTATGAAGTGAAAATTTTGCAACTTTGTGTCTCTATAAACCCTCTGTTAACATGTATTCATGCTGCCAGGGAGGTGGAACATAACAATCCATCAGTGGCAACACAGCAATTCCAAAACCCAAGAAAATTAAGCAGAGGTACCAGTAAGTTAGTGTTGATGGAAGAGGCAGAGGAAGATAGGAAGGGAGAGAGGTAGGAACGCAAACGAGCTGTGCAGAATGAGGTTGAACTCCTGCTGGGCCACCTCTTCGGAGATCAGGGGATAGATTAAGATGGAATGAAATTCACACAATGCTGCAGGGATTAATGTACCAAAGAAGAGAGAAAACTTGATTTCTGTTACAGTATAACATAGGGCGGCCCAAAGGAAAAGTCAGAGGCTATTTAGATAACTTGAAGAGCTCTTAGATTAGACAACAGGAGACTAGTGGGCTTTGCAATCTGTACTTACTTTAAAATCAATGACTGTCAACATGCTAGGTGCTAAAAATATGTCTATTCCCCCTTCTCCATTTTATAGACCTGAAAATATTGAAGTTGTAAGGGTGTTTCCACCTCTGCCACCCACTAAGTGTCAATTCAAAGGTGAAGCTGTTATAATTAGTCCTTTTCAAATGATTTTGACTTTCTTCTGTTGTCTTCCAAATTCAGGAATACAAAATCTGTTGAAGAACAACTTGCCTCTCTCAAAAAAATTTGTCTACTAATTATATCCTTCAGTTGAGCAACCTTGGCTGCTTTCCTATTATGAAATCATAAAAATCATTCCTTAACCTTCCTGGTTGTAGACGTGGGTAGTTACTCTTGAATTTTCCACTCTATCCAGAATGCTGAGGTCTCCAGATTGACTGTCTAACAAAAAAAGGGAAAGTATTAGGGCTCCCTGGTGGTGCAGCTGGTTGAGTGCAGCCCCGTGAAGCTGTCCACAGCCTCTGCAGTGCCGGTTTGATTCCCCGCCGGCCTGGGAGATTCCCACAAGGCGCGGCAGACCTCTCCTGTCTCACCCACTGCAACCCTCAGCAGTGTATTTCAGCCCTTCTGCCTGTTCTGCTCCCTGCTCTGTCTCTGGTGAATTCTGTCACCCCTCCACGCCTTGGCCTGTACCCCAGTGCTTGTAGAAATGAATGGATCTTTTTTTTTTTTTTTTTTTAAAAAGGGAAAGCAGGGTCTCCCCTAGTGGCACAGTGGTTGAGCGCTGGGCTGCGAAGCTGCCTGCAGCCTCTGCAGCGCCAGTTCGATCCCCTGTCACCAGCATGGGTCCCACATGGCGCGACAGACCTCTCCTGCCACCCACTGCTCCCCTCAGCAGTGTATTTCGTCAGTCTGCCTGTTCTGTTCCCTGCTCTGTCTCTGGTGAATTCTCTCACCCTCCCGTGCTTCTGACTGTACCCAGAGCTTGTATAAATAAATAAATAAATCTTTAAAAAAAAAAGGGAAAGCATTAGTTTCATTGATTTTGTACAGTTCCAGCCCAACACTGAAAGCTGACCCAAGGGAGCTGATCTTCACGCGCAAGCAGAAGTATTTGACAACAGCAATAGACAATGTCTACACTGACTCAGTCAGTGACAGCTCTCACCTCATTCCTGGGAAACAGAACCCTCCCCCGTCTGCTTATAGTAGCTACAGAGCCTGCTCACTGGGTTCTTGTGCTGACCTGTCCCCTGTACCCGAGTTTCCTCATCAGTTCCCAGGGCCAAGTCAAACGGTTGCTAACCTGATAGTGTTTCAGGTTAGAATGTCACCCTTCAATAGCCACAGTGGAATTTTGCTGCAAACACTTCAGGCAGAAGATAAGACCTGTTTAGCATTTTACCCAACCTCCGGGCGATAGCAAAAAGGATGCGCTCCATTTGTCAACGCTGATTGAAGTGATGACTTGTAGAGCAATGTTGGGGACGAGTGTGAGGCTACAAACCTGCTCAATGAGAGAGAATGTCATGATCAATTAGAATGGGCCAGCCAGCACAAAAGGCCACATATTTGCCAATCCCATTCAGATGAAGCCATCTTAAAATCTGACATCACTCAAAGTGTGCATTGGCAGAATTGTGGATGCTTGTTCCATATTAGTGTTTGAGCGCCTGTGAATCAGACAGTACCTCTTTTGTTCACTTCCTTCTGCAAGGAAACATTCTGTTGACAGTAATGCCTCTCAGGGGTGCTTGAAGATGAATGGGTTAATTTAAAAATATTTAGGGCTCTTCGAAAGAAAGGCACTACATAAATCTTGAGTAATCGTTACCATTATTGTCTCGATTAATGTATGACGAAATGGGTCTCTTAGGTCGTTGGATTTCAGTCTATGAGGTGTAAATAAGTGGCTACTATTGGGAGGCTAAGAAAAATGAACTAATAAAAATACCAGATAGGTTGAATATATTATTGAAGTGTTTAACATGCTCTGTTAACATCAGCTTGTCAACTGTTAACATTTCTGGCATGCTGGCAGAGAACACAGCACAGGAGTCATGATCTCTCCACCAATGATTTTGAACTTCTGATTTGAACTATATGCCTCACTGGACCATCATCCTGTGGTTATCATCATTGTTCCCAGTCACCTGAGTTTGCCCTGCATCCAAGCAGCAAGGAAAATGACTCACCAAAAATAATCCCACAGCTCAGCATTACCCTCAAAGCAGTAATTATAGGTACTGTGTAGATGATGTCCTGAACAGGAAGCAAGAGTCTGCAATGGCATAAAACATGTGTGTGTCACAGACTTTGTAGAAAATAAGGAGCAGGAAAAAACTGTCTTGAAAATGCTGTGTTATTAACACAGTGACAACAATGAAGAACAAACAAATAAAACTGCATTGGATGGATAATGACTGAGAAGCCCATAAAACTGGAGAGAGAAAATCCACGTTCTTGTCCTTGCTCTGCTCCTTCTTAGCTGGGCAGCCAGGAATATATCACTCTGCCTCTCTGTCTTCTCACTGGAGTAGGAAAAAAACTAGAATGAGTGATCTCTAAAGTCCTTCCAGTTCTTCCTATAAAGCCATGATTCTATTTTTAGGTATTAGGTCAGCTAGAAAAAAACAAACACCATATGATTTTACTTAAATGTACATTATAAATAATAACACCATGAACACCGAGTTCAGATACAGAAAACAAATTGTTGATTGCCGGAAACATGGGGGTAGGGGGAA